TGGGCCCCCCGCCTGACCTCCCCACGGAGCCACCCTCTGGCCGTGGGGAGCCGGGGCCTGGCGCTGGAGGCCCCGCAGGTGCGGGGCAGGGGCTGAGGGTTTAGCCGGGCGAAGCCCCCGTGGCTTTGGCAGCCTGTGAGCGGCCCTGGCCCCCTGGCTGGGCAGGGCCCTGGGGTGGAGCCGCCCCCTTGCTCGGTCCCGAGAGCCCCCCTGGTTTACTACACTGGCCCCTTTCTGATTCCTTGCAGGCTGGCAGAGGCGACGGCGTCGAGTGAGGCCAAGCGCTCAGGTGGGTGCCAGGGCAGTGGAGCTGGCGCTGCTAATGTGCCCATGGTTGCGGGGCCTGGTTTCTGGAGAGCTGGCACCCGTCTGGCCTGCCGAGCTCTTACTGGCTGCGGGGTCAGGGCAGGAGCACGGCTCTTCCTGGAGATAAAGCCCCCACACTTGAGCCCCCCCGGGGCGAGCTGCGGTGCCATAATGCAAGTCCTTAGCCACACCCACACCCCTCCCCGGTGGGGTTTATCCCTGGGGCCTCTGTGTGGGACTGAGAGTCCCAGCAGAGAGTCCCATTGCAATGAGGATGCACATGCTCCAGATGCGCTAATTCTCCTGTGAGGGGCAGTCCTAGGGGCAGGGCCTGGGGGTGGGTGACTCACGGGGGGCAGAGCCTGGAGCTCCTGGCTCCCCACACTGAGTCTGGGTTTGACCCAGACTCCCTTGGTGACATCATAGGGATGGGGGGAGGCTGTTGGCCAGAAAGTATCAAAGACCCTTTTCTTGGGGGGCCCCCCGCCCTGGCATGTGCTCTGCTGGGGCTCAGTCAGTGTCACTCACAAGCTTCTTAGACTCAGTGGAAACCTGACGAGTGCTGACAGTCAAATCTTTCTTCTGCCTGGGTGTCGTCTGCCCTTCTATCCAAAGTGGCACCTCCTCTCCGCAGCCTGGCCACTCCGATTGCAGGCCCAGACTCTGAACCCCTCTTCCCTCTCTTCTCAGTGAGCCCGCTGGTGGCCACGCCATGCTGGCAAGCAGAAGACTTTGTCGTTGTTCTGGATTGTGCCCCATGCACGATCTTCCAAGCAGTAAGTGGAGACGAACTGCCCTGCAGCTGGGTAGCAGGGCTGGGGGTGGGGGGCTCGCTGTCTAGTGCTGGTGGTTACACCCTGCCCTGGCCCCTTGCTTGGGGAGTGCTGCATGGGATGCTCCCTGCTTGGGTCAGCCTGAAGATCCCTCAGGGTGGGTGGGGGGACACCAGCTGTTGTGCCCCACAGAGCAGAGACCCCTCAGGGCTGGCAGGGGGAATGACACAGCCTGCCCCACAGAGTGTGTGAAAGTGGGTTTGGTTTGATTGCAGAAGACGATGCCCGAGTGCAGCACGACTGGCTTCATCGAGCAAATTAACTGCGCCGTGTCCAAGAAGGAGGAGTACAGGAGGTAAGCCAAGGCCGGGACCCTGCAGTTCGGTTTGGCTCAGGCGCAGTGTGGGGCGGCCCGGGCTCACTGGGACAGAGCCCGGGGAGGCACATTGGGCTCCTGGGCGTGGCTGCTTCATGCTGTATCCGGAGCACCTCAGCTTGGCGGGTGGGGGAGACTGCACCTAGCATGGCTATAATGGGGCCCACTGCAGACAGGCTCCCCTGTAATCCGCTGGCCAAGCCGTGCGGCGCTCCGATCCCAGCCCTGTCGACTCTCTCCTCTCTCTGCAGCTGCCGCTCCGTGGTGACGGAAGCACACAGCTTCTGGAAGTTCGAGGGGGCCATGATCTGTGTGGCTGTGGTCTTTGCCCTGTTGGTCATGTGCCGTCAGAGGGTGCTGGACAGGAAGGCCCTGGAGAAAGTTCGCAAGCAGATCGAGTCCATTTAGTATCTGTCGACCTCCCAGCAGCCCCGGTGCTGCCCACCTCCTCTCCTGTGTGGGGAACTGGGGCACGGATGCTAATCCCCTTTCCCGCTCCGGGGAGCTGCAGGAGGAGGAGACTGGCGTCAGAGACCAAGATCTGCTGTGTCCTGGCAGAGAGCAGCTCTCTGACCGCTTGGGAGCGTGGTTCAGCCAACTCAGAGCCACGGCGAACGCCACTCGGCTTGCTCCTTGGAGACTCAGCAGCCGGCTGGGGGTTCCCCTCGGTCCATCTCACCTGCCATGAGGAGGGCTGGGGTCCCATCCCTTCTTAGCCCCTTCTCTCCTGCCGTCAGTGCGCACGAGGAGTCCCTTTGTGACTGGCAGCTCCTGGTGGGATATGGGGCGTGTGCCCAGTGGGGGCTGCCACCTTGCATCCCTCAGCATTAACGCAGCCCCCCTCCTTCCGCAGGTTCTGAGACAGTAAACCCTGAGCCTGGATGCAGGAGCTGCCTCTGGGCAGCCAGTACCCTGCTGTGCTGGCTGTCCAGCCCGGTGCAGTGAGGGAGGCTGTTGGTTAATACAGGCCGCAGGCTGTGGGGGACTTGCGGTCTAGTTCCTGCTGGAGCGGAGCGTGACCCTGCCTGGCTGAGCGGCTCCTCCGTTCCCTCAGGGTGACGTGTAGTCCCAGGCACCTGGCTTGTCTGCTCAGGGAGTCCGGCCAGCCCTCTCCCTGCCCTGGGTGCACCCGTCCCATGACCCCAGAGCAGCAGGCCAGGTCCTGGCACACGCTTCCCTGCTGCTCCATGCTGGTGCCGGGGCTGGTCTCGGGGGCACGAGGGGCT